GGGAGTGGGAGAAGAAGGGGGGAGAAGGTACAGAAAGTAAGTAGCATGGATGGTAGGTAGAAAATAGACAGGGGGGAGGGCAAGAATAGTAGCGGAAGTATAGAATCTAAAGAACTTGAGACACGTGGTCATGAACTAAAGGGGGGGATGGTGGGGGAGGGGGTGTGCAGGGTGGAGGGTAATGAAGGGGGGAAATAGAACAACTGTAATGGCATAATTAATAAAATATATTTTAAAAAAGAAAACTGTGTTAGGTTATTTAGCAAAATATTTCAGGCTTTTTGGGGATTTTTGCTTTTCTGCTATTGATCTTTTTAAAAAGTTAATTCTTCCTTGGTTCAAGAGTGAGCTGTACTGCCGTTTTAATTTTTGAAGTATGGGCATAAGAGCTAATTAATTTATTCTGAGCTAAGTATTTGCTCTGTTAAAAACTATTGGTTTACATGGTTTCAATTTGTGTAATTTCTAGTACCATTTATGTAGACAGTTAATAGATTCAGAAAGTGTTTATTGCTGGAAAAGGAGACTAATAGGATAGGGATGCTCATTATTTCACTGACTTCAGGATTATTATGTACATCTCACTTCAGGGCATATGATCACTTTTCTGCACAGAGTCCATTTAACTTAAGTGGCTTCAGTATAGACAGGCTGTGTATGTGCATATGCGTCAAGTGGTCCCTGATCATGACTCTAGGCTGTTATTTTGTTAAGTTGGAACTTCTTTCCCAGAATTTGTCATATGTAGCACTCTACCCTGATGTTCCTTCTTGAAGACCAAACTCACAGATTCATGCTTTCAGTTGACTGCTTTTGTTTTTACAGAATTTGAATTTTTAGTTTTGTACAGAATTTCTCTTCACCCAATTTTTTTGGTTAGGTAGCTGCATATGTGGTGAAAACTGTTGCATTCAGTGAATCTGAAAATACAACCAGCATTCGTCAGACTCTTCAGAGGCAGGGATTCTGTTCACAGTTTCAGCGTCCAGCACCTGCATTCCATTAAGCAGTAAAATAAGTGGGACAAGGAGCTCACTCTGTTGACCTCCCAGAGTTTATTGATTCGTGCGCAGGTAATTACTTGGGCCTCTGCTCTGCCAGGTTCTTAGGCTTTGGGCACAAAGAAGTGGGAAGGTCAGCGGGCCCTGCTGGCACCAGTGGAGTCACAGGTTGGGAGGCTTTAGAAATAAGAGGCTCATTCAGTTCACCTCAAGTCATGGAGGATTTTTCTTGTAAGAATATTTGAGGATTACAGTTACACTTCTGGGTCTCCTGGGAGGAGAGGAATTAAGACCAATCTAGTGGAATACAGTTTGGGAACTGAGGGGATTTCTGGTTAGACAAGAATGAAGATACTCATAGGACATAGGACTCTCAGTCTTCCACTGCAGTGGCGTTTAGAAGAAAGTCAAAGCTATGTAAATAACTCTGCATTTTTCTTGAAGATTCACTAAGATCTTAGGTTGTATCTCTTTAAACTGTTAGCAATTTAGTGTATTCTTAAGTCGTGTTTCATGTTTCTCCAGGAATATAATGCATTTCCTGTATTTTTCCTTCTATATTTTCCTAGTTGCTAGTATTGGTTTGGGGTTTTTTTTGGGGGGGGATGAGTACATTCACAGAATATTTATAGATCAGAAACTCTAAAGGTGAAAACTTTATTTGACTTGTCACATTTTAAAACATCATCTGTTAACTTTTTTTGTGAGTTTGTACTGCTGCTTACTTTGTGTGTGTTGAAAACAGTAATATTGGTAACAGTAGCTCACAATAAATAAACGTTAGTCTCTTACATTTGAATAGGAATGTATAGAGTCACTTTGAAAGATGTTTATGTTTTCTCTTCATAACCTCCGCCCCCACCCCAAAGAAGGCAGGCAGGTCTTACTTTTTATAAGTTGAGAATTTAAGTCAAAGTTACATGATTCGTCCAAGGTTTCACAGAAGGCAACGGGGCCAGCAGTGGATGGAGCCTTAGCCTCCTGACTCCGGGTGGCACCCGGTGCTGGGTCTCAGCCTCGATCCCCAGTGTCAGGGAATCCTCACCTTCCTCCTGTTCTCTTCTCTGTCCTGGGGCTCCTGAGAGAGAGCACCAGGCTGCCCTGCCCAGACGTACGTTGCTTTATTTCCTGCAAGGCAATATGTCACCCTTGGTAATTAGACTTAAAAAATCTAGAAAAGTTGTGAACGTAACTTGTCAAAAGTTTGTTCAGGAAAGGTGTGTTTCATCCCTGCAAGTCGGTGTGGAGAAACATGGGTTGAGGGACTGGGTTTTTGGTAATTGTTGTTGGCACCCAGTGTTCACCTTGGCTACTGCGGACTACTAGTCAACGGCAACTGTCTTCGTAACTGCCCAGTCCTGCGCCCACGTACTGTTGGGAAGTGGAAGTCATAGTCACATAACCTATCTGCCTACAGTTTAAAAATTGATATAATTTCTCACAAAAATATACAGGGGGAATGAAGAAATCAATTTATAGTAAGTAAAATATGTTTTGGTAGGGATGTCCGTCAGCATGTATGTGAGCAGGCGTAATGTGGTCAGGTTTTCCACTTGCACGTGAAGTCACTGAGAATGTGAAGTGGCACTGCAGCTGTGGTGTGACTTTTTGAAATAATGAGCATCTTTTATTAAAATTCCAAACAAGAAAAAGTACAACCCTGCCCCAAATTCCTTTGATTTATGTGGTAGTCATGTTGTGGAAAATTTGGTGTATATTAAAACTGTATAAAATAATCATGTTTACATAAAGCAGTTCTCAGATGGTTATAAACTGACTTTTTTGCACCATGAATGTCCAGTTGGATATTTGAAAGGACAACAGGACAAAAATTGTGGGATTCAGGACAGTTCTTTGTTGTACAGGACTGCCCTGTATGTCGTCTGCCAAATGCCAAGGATGTCTTCTAAATTAAGGTGACAATGAAAAAATTGCCCCACAAATTCAGAATACACCTTCTAGGTGGCAGTGCCACTTATGCCGAAAGTCTCTGCCTTAAGCACTACAGAGACACAGAAACCTAAGGGACCCCAGAGAACATCTCAAACCAGAAGCTCTTAGTGCTATGATGTCGTTGTCTAGAGAGGCAGCAAGAGGAAGTCGACTTTGTTTTTCCCCCAAGGCAAAGATATGTTTTTGCCTTCATCTGGCCTTTATCAGCCCGCACTGGACTACCCTGCGTTCCTGTGGTTGAAGCCTCTTGCATCCCCTCCATTCCCTGTCTTTGGAGCTTTCTGGGGAAGCTTTCTTTAGACTAGGTTCTGAAGCAAATGTGAAAAGTGGGTTTGAAAGTATCCAAGAAAACTAATGGAAGTGTAAATATATGTAACTTACAGTTTACCCAATTAAAGGCTTTTTTGTACATAATTGTGACTTGGCAAATACATTGCTAAATTATTTTGTTACGTAAATCATGAGAATTTTATCTCTTGACAGGTACGATTTTGCTATACAGTACAGTATTTTGATAATTGGATTTGTGAGTTACTTCAAAAAGTTAATCTTTAATACCAATGCAAATCAATATGGAGGGAAATACTTAGCTATTATTGTGATTTCAGGAATCAATATTTTGCTTTCTGTTTTTTGTGAGGCAGCCTTTTGGTGATAGATGTACATACATAGTTCAGATTCTCCATCTGCCATAGGGTGGCTGTGTGAGGTAAAGCAAATTAATCAGTATCTCTGAGCCTTGTTGTAAATTGTCCTCATCAGTAATACAGTGATGCTGATACTTAATAGCATGGTTGCAAGGACTCATTTAGAACATCTGTGCAGTTTTCTCCTAGTACTTGCTACTGTGTGTTCATATTTTTTAGGCAATATAGAATAGGGCTGATAAAAATTTTAAGTCTTTTTTACTTGACCTATTTCCATAATATAATAATTACTGTTTTGAAAATACTGAAATATTAAAAAGTTTACAATAGATTCATGACATTCTGCCACTGAATATACTGTATAGTACATGCTGTCATTTCTGTAAATAATATGGACAGCAGATTTACCTGGTTCTCTCAAGAAATGAAGTTTTTAAAAACCTCACTTCTTGAGATAACTAAAACAAAAACCAAGAAGAAATAGTGGGCTGAATTGAGTCTGGGGAGCGGGCCCATGATAAGCTTCCCAGTTGAGTGGTAAATACACACACACACCAGCCTGAAATTGCAGCCTTCAGTATATAGATTTGTACGTCATTGACCTTTGGGTTACACAAAAATTGCAAAGCCACATATCTTGTATCTGAGAATATCGAGGCTACACTGTCCTTCACCTAATAATGATTTTAGTATACATGAGTGTTTTAAATTTTGTTTCCTAATATTTGCCATTGTAAAAATGATGCTGCTGAATAGTTACATACATTGCTTTTTTCTTTCTCTAGTGGTATTTCTTTTTTAGTTATTATTTAGTGATTTTTTTTTAGAGAGATAAAGACAGAGACATCAGTTTGTTGTTGCACTTACTTATGTCTTCATTGGTTGCTTCTTGTGTGTGCCCTCATTAGAGATTGAACCTTCAACCTTGATATATCGGGATGAGGCTCTAACCAACTGAGTTATCTAGCCAGGGTCTAGTCGTATTTCTTTAGGATAAATCTCTAAAAGTAAAAGTAGAATTACTCTATTAAAAGACACAAACCTTTTATGACACTTGATGTAATCGCCAAGTTATTTATAAACATATTCTATAGATGTACACTGTCTTCAGGTAAGTAGGTTCAGCTGTGTCTAGCTAGGGGATTTTTTTTTATTTAAAGTGTTTTGGGGGATACTGATTTTAAACAAATGAAATATTTTAATTTGTGTTTCTTTGGTTAGTAAGTTTTAACATTTACTTTTCATATGTTTGTGGTATTTCCTCTGGATTATTTATTCACTCATTTTTTCATATTTAACTTATAGGATCACTTAACTATTTGGTTTTTTTGTTGTTTTTTTTCAGAACTTTGGCTAAATTAGACTTTTATCTAATCATATTCTGCTTTTTTTCTTTCAGCTCCGGTAATAAACCGATTCACAAGGCGTGCCTCAGGTAACTCTATGTTATGGATTTTACTTATTAATGGTGACATTTTTAAAATGATGCCAATAGTGGAGAATAAGGTATGAAGAGAATAACTGCTATAGAGAAGTGGTTTTCCACTGGTGTGCAGCTGCAGGCACACTGGTGTGCCACAAGAATTTTTAAAACATGCAATATCTAACTACTTTGTCGGGGGCACGGAGTTTTTCCCCTTAGACTGTCAAATAAAAAACTGGCCACAGCCAGCACAACAATAGCCATTCATTGTGAATGAATCAAAATTATACCTATTTTTTGTCAGATCAGCAAAGATTATATACTTCTTGGTATGCTGCAGAATTTTAGTAGTTTATGTGTGCCATGAGGTGAAAAAGGTTGAAAATCACTGCTATAGATTGATAATTTATTTGTCATTTTCCCAGGAAAACATAACCCCTGATATAGTTAAGAATAAGAAGTAATTGGAAATAGTCTCTGATTGGCTAAACTTAAAAATTACACTGTGCAGTAAGGCTAATATCCCTTTTAAATGGAGACTGTCACCCCAGTTTGTTCACTCTTGCTCCTAATTAATTATTAGTATATGCATGATTGATAAGCCACAGTTTAGAAGCAGTATTTAGAAGATTGGGTAAAGGGTAAAGGACACTAGAAGCAGTGATGGATGAGAGGTTTTAATAAGGGACAGAAAACTTAAAATGCAGATGCCATAAGAACTTGTCATCATGTGGCCCTTTAGAATTGGAGCAGATTGCTTTACATCTGTTAATACCCCTGTGGTTATTGCTGTCTTCAAGACACTACTGTAACCTCCTACATCCTCACAGTGATTACAGATTAGGTTCATTACCTGCATTGGTAGAAGTACAGGACACAGCTGAGAGGTTCCATCCAGAATGATTGGAGTAAAGTTAGTTTGGGTATTTAAATGGGTAAACTGTTATTTGAAAAATAACTCACCTCTGTGGAATACTTCTCTGAAGGTAGAGGACAAATGAAGTCTTACCATGTTTGGTTTGAGAAAATTACTCCTTTTAAATATAACTAGATTTTTTTTGTTGAAAAACACAAGATAAACATTTTACACAGATCATCTTTGATGTTTATATAATGCAAATAAGTAATTTATTTCATAAAATTACTTTATTTCCATCTGTGCTATATTCCTAAAGGTGTTTTAAGGTTGAGTTTTATTTTTAATTGGGCAGCCATTATTGATAAAATTTACTCTAATGTAGTAACCAATTCTGTAAGGAGAAAGACAAGGATGAGAAAAATACGCTGTATTGGGATGCTGTTTATTTTACCCTCCTAATTTTTTGTAATCTCAAGGCATATTTATTTTAAATGTTGAAAACAAAAAGTAAATTGTAATAACTTGTGGAATGAGAGATTATGTTCATATTAGTAAGTCATCAAATTTTATCCCAAAGTAGAGCTATGAAGAATGATCACAGTCTAGTTTGGTATATAATCTTTATGAGCAGTGGTGGAAACAAAAGAGGAATAGAGAATCAATAGGATGATATCTTGTATTTGTGATTTAAAATTCTTTTCATAGTACATAGTTAAGAATTTTAGAGTAAATTATTTACTTTTTTGTCTAAAACATGAGATTTATTTCTGGGCAAGTTTCATGAGTATTCATTGTACCTTATACATATCATCAGTTAATGAGTTTGGGCTCCAGTTATGTAGGTTACTTTTTTTAAAATATTTTATTTATTTTTAGAGAGAGGGGAAGGGGGGGAGTAAAACGTCAAAGAAACCTTCATGTGAGGGAAATATCGATTGATTGCCTCTCATTCATGCCCCATCCATGGACTGAACCTGCTCTGCATTTGCCCTGCTCTGGAATGGAACCAACCACCTTTCGATGATCCCCATTCAACAAAGCCACACTGTTGAGTGTGTAGGTTGCTTTTGAAACACTGTTATTTGAGTGCCCCTTTACCACTAATCCTGTGAGCAGTGTATCTCAGCAGGGCTTTGCTCAAAATGGAGAGAAGGTGGAATGTTAGCAGAGAAATACATATTAAAGCGATATTGCATTTATTCCTAAAATGACAGGACGTAGGAAATGTCAGTGAACATAATAAGAAGCAATTCGATTTAAAGAAAAATGATAAAGTGATACAAAGTCCAAGGATCATGTTTTTAAAGCATACGCCTTAAAAGGAATAAAAATTGTTACTGTAACATTCTGAAACCATGATGAGAATAAGTTGTGACATTGAATATAGGAAGGAAAAGAGAATTAATTTATGGAGTGCCCCTGGTGGGTCAGGCACTAAGCCTTTTATATACATTGCTAAGCATTTTATATACATTTTCAGTCTTTCAAGTAAGGCAAATAGGATTATGTTTACTACTTTAGCTAAAAAAAACAGTGGTTAAAAAAAAAAAAAGGAATGGGATTGTTACAGAACTGCACTCCCCCCCCCCCAGCCTACCCCGTGGGTCTTTTGTTCTGTGGCACCAGATACTGTGGCAGAAAAAACATCTCCCTTCCTCCCCAGTGGTCTTAATTACTCTGGGTTCTTTTTGCCTGCTGCTGATAGGAACTGTGGCTCTCAATGCCAGAGTTTGGCAAAAAGGAAAGGAATTATTTATTCAAAAGTTATACGGGTTTAGAGTAATGGTGGAATGTCGTTAAATTTCAAAGTCCCTTTAAAACTCCCACAGACACACACATAGTCCTGCTTCTCCTTGCCAGACCAGGTCAGTTAGGGGTACTGTCTCTCAGGAAAAGAAGTAGAATTTGTAGCTTGGCTAGGCTCCCATTCTTTTTTTTAAATACTGTTTAATTTTATTGTTCAAGTACAGTTTTCTGCCTTTTCCCCTGACCCCTCCCCAACAACCCAGACATCTCCACATCCCTCCAGTGTTTCCACCCCTCCTTTCATTTTTCTTGTTGCTATATCAAATGGGATGTTTTTCCTGATTTCTGTTTCTGATATTTCATTGTTGGTATACAAAACTACCTTTGATTTCTGAATATTGACTTTGTATCCCACTGTTTTACCAAATTTATTTATTAGTTCGAGCAGTTTTTTGGTTGAATCTATAGGATTTTCTATGTACACTATCATATCGTCTGTAAATAATGACTGTTTTGTTTCCTCTTTTCCAGTTTGGATGCCCTTTATTTCTTTTTCTTGTCTGATTGCTGTGGCAAGGACTTCCATTACTATGTTGAACAGAAGTGGTGAAAGTGGACAACCTTGTCTTGTTCCTAATCTTAGTGGGAAGGTTTTTAGTTTTTGCCCATTGAGTATGATGTTGGCTGTAGGTCTCTCATATATGGCCTTTATTATGTTGAGGAATGCTCCCTGTATTCCCACTTTGCTGAGTGTTTTCATCATAAATGGGTGCTGTACCTTATCAAATACTTTTTCTACATCTATTGGTATGATCTGTGATTTTTGTTTTTCCTTTTGTTTATGTGATGTATTACATTTATTGATTTGTGAAACTTGTATCATCCTTGCATCCCTGGGATGAATCCCACTTGGTCATGGTGTATGATCTTTTTCATGTATTGCTGGATGCAGTTTGTCAATATTTTGTTGAGGTTTTTAGTGTCTGTGTTTATCAGTGATGCTGGCCTGAAGTTTTCTTTGTTGTGTCTTTATCTGGTTTTGTGATTAGGATGATGCTGGCTTCATAAAAAGAGTTTGGGAGTCTTCTGTCTTCATGGATTTTTTTTTGGAATAGTCTGTGAAGGAAAGGGGTTAGCTCTTCCTTAAATGTTTTATAGAATTTTCCTGTCAAACCATCTGGTCTTGGGCATTTGTTTGTTGGGAGATTTTTGATTACTGCTTCAATTTCATCTGCTGTTATTGGTCTGTTCAGGCTTTCTGCTTCTTTTTCATTGAATTTTGGAAGATTATATTTTTCTAGAAATTTTTCCATTTCATGTAGGTTTTCAGATTTCTTGGTATATAGTTCTTCATAGTAAATTCTTGTAATCCTTGTATCTCTGTGGTATCAGTTGTAATCTTTCCTTTTTCATTTCTGATTGTGTTTATTTGGATTCTGTCTTTCTTGATGAACCTGCTTCAAGGCTTGTCGATTTTGTTTACCTTTTCGAAGAGCCAGCTTCTGGATTCATTGATCTTTAGAATTGTGCTTTTAGTCTCTATATCATTTAATTCTGCTCTGATCTTGGTTACTTCCTTCCTTCTACTTGCTCTGGGCTGTCTTTGTTGTTGTTCCTTGAGTTCTTGTAGGTGTAGGGTTAGGTTGTTTATTTGAAATGTTTCTATCTTTTTTTGGGTAGGCCTGTATGGCTATGAACTTCCCTCTTAGGACTGCCTTCTCTGTGTCCCATAAGTTTTGAGTTGTTGTGAGTTCATTTTTATTTGTTTCCAGAAACTTTTTGATTTCTTCCCTAATTTCATTCTTGACCCTTTTATTGTTCAATAGCATGGTATTCAATCTCCATGAGATTGTTTTGAATGTTTTTGAGGTTTTTCCCTTGGGGTTGTTTTCTAGTTTCAGTCCCTTGTGTTTGGAGAAAATGCTTGATATGATTTCAGTTTTCTTGAATTTGTTGAGGCTTGTTTTGTGTCCTATCATGTGGTCTGTCTTTGAAAATGTTCCATGTGCATTTGAAAAGAATGTGTATTCTTTGGGATGAAGTGCTCTCTATATATCAGTTAAGTCCATTTCATCTAGGACAGTATCTTTGTTGGTATTTTGTTTGGAAGATCTGTTCATTTTTGATAGTGGGGTGTTAAAATCCCCTACTATAATTGTGTACCTGTCAATATCTTTCTTGAAGTCCTCCAAGATTTTCTTTATGTATTTGGGTGCTCCTGTGTTGGGTGCATATATATTTACAGTGTTTATGTCTTCTTGGTGGATTCTTCCCTTGAGTATTATGAAGTGAGCTTCTGGGCCTCTTTTTATGGCCCTTTTTTTGAAGACCGTTTTGTCTGATATGAGTATTGCTACCCTGGCTTTTTTTCCCTATCCATTTGCTTGGAATATTTGTTTCCAGCCAT